AAGCCCATTAAAACACATTAGAGACTGTATATTGATGTGGGTACATCACAGTGTATCATTAGTCTGTCCTCTTCCACAGCTGAGGCCAGAAGCCCTAGGGTACTCCTATTATTTTGTCCCCTGCCACAAGCCCCAACCAAAACCTTCCAGGGAATTGGCCATGTCCAATTCACAATCCTGTACCTGAGAAAATAGCCCTAAAGTCTGTTTCTGTGATTGTTTAGGAGTGCTGGGTTGGGGTATGCTTGTATTTTGTACAAATTTGGGTCCTTTCGTTGTGTCTGTATTCACCAGCCATCCCTGTACTGTCAAAGGAGCATAAGACTGCTACTTTTACACTGGAAACAGATTCTGAGGTTAGCAGAATAGTATCAATATAATGAATGAGAAAGACACTTTTCACAGCAGTCAGCTGCCATAGCACCCTGCATGCTAGTGGACAGCCACCTCAGGATTACCCCCTCAGCTTTCCATTTCCCAACATCAACACTTATGGGAGTTTCCTCAGCCTCCTAGCTGGCTTGTCAATTTTTGGACTGCACCCACAGGCCTGCAAGTCTTGTAGTTGCCCAGTCTCAAGACTAAAGAAAGAGCCCAGAGACAGAGACATTATAAACTGAGCAGGACCCTCTGGGGACTGTCTAGGAAGACCCTGCCCTCTATCCTCTGCTTTATCTCCTCTCTGAAGTACCCAGATAATAGTACCCCATATTTCCTGAGTTTTTCAGATGCTAAAGTATATGCATGTGTGCTCAGTCATGTCTTTTCTACAGCACTATGGACTGTAGCTCACCAGGTTCCTCTGTCCATGGGATTTTCTAGGCAAGAATACCAGAGTGGCTTGTCATTTTCAACATCAGGGGATCTTCCAGACCCAGGGATCAAACCCGTGTCTCTTGTGTCTCCTGCATTGGCAGATGGATTCTTTACCACTGCACCACCTGGAAAGTCCTTATAACCCCCTCAGATGCTAAAATCCACCAGCAAATGGAACAAATGAACCACTTAATGATCATGAGCATGTAGCACCCCCAGACCTACAGGCCTAAGGATTAATAAAGTTAAGAACCCTATTACTTCAACATCAACCAATCAGAATTGACCACAAGCTGATCATATACCCCACCACACCCTACTCCCTCACCTGTCCTTTAAAAATGCTTTGCTGAAACCCTTCGGGGAATTCAGGATTTGTGGGGCCATGAGTCGCCCGTTCCCTTGCATGCACCTGCAATTAACCTTTCTCTGCTCTAAACTCCATTGTTTTGGTATTGTTTGGCCTCACTGTACACTGGGCATAGGAACTTGTGTTCAGTAACAACATCAACAATTTATTGGATAGGGGATCTTACAGGTCCACAGCAAAATATCCCAGAGTGACCACCCACCATGTATGGCTGATGTCTCAATAGCTGGCTAGCTGTTAGGCAGGCCATGGCAGCAATCTTAGCTGCTCAGGGGAAAAGGAGGCTACCATTTATGGGTGAATGGATGTCAGGCTGGCTTATCAGTTACCAGGGAAATCAGGACTGGGGCATATTGCTCATAGCCCCTCGGGTTAACAACCATCATGAGGGCAGATGTTTCCCTTTAATAAACGAGAAGGTGGAGCCATTCCAGGCTAAGAATTTGAAGAATCACTAGCTGAGGCAGGGACCAAGCATGTCCATATGCGTAGGATGTAGGTGGAGCAGGGAATGTTCAGAGAGCAAGAGAGCAACCATCTTCAGTGGACTGACCTGGCACTCAGTAGGCACTTAATATGTATTCAATGGATCAATGACAGAGTGGAAGAAATAAAAATACAAATGAGAACAGGAAGAATCCACGCAGAAGATTAACCCACTTCTTCTGTCTCTCCTCTTCTCCTCTTTTGTGTTTATCAGCAAATGTTTTGTGAGCACTTACCTTATGCCACCTGCATGAAGCAGTACCAACAAAGATGAATGAAGACAGGTTTCTAGACAGAGCAGCTCCTTCCCAGTTGTATCTTCAATCAGGATGTGGTTAGAATTTGTAGACTCCTGAAGGAAGAAACACAGTGTAGGGCTCCCCACTTCTCACAGTCCTAGGAATGGAGGACAAAATACGAGTCTATAGTAAATTCATCTTTGACGTCCATGAGGCGCCATGTCAAGATCTTTATGATCTGGATTGGATCATAAAGAAACACCGTTAGAAATTAGAAACGCCATTCTAACATTATCTCCCCCACCTAATACTGACAAGTAGTGGTTTTCAGTGGAGACTTCACATTTAGAATCTTAAGTTTAAATAAATATTACCCTGAAATCTAACATATAAAATATAGGCAGAGCTGCTTGGGTTAAAGCAGAGATAGAAAGCCTGGGGTCTCTCTACTCATTGCCTCCAAGGTAATTCTTATTGAAAATTATAAATGAAAGGTCCTTTAGAGTCTTATTGATCTACAAATATAAGACAAATATAATTCATAAAAATTAATTTAAAATGTGGACACAAACTGTGAGCCCATGGTTGTTTAATAAGGGCACTGTAAACATTTTCATAGTGTTGACATATGGCAGAAACTGACTAGAGGCTTATCAACCCTGATATTCTCTCCTGGGCCCACAGAAACACTGCCTCTCCTAACTTCCTCTGCAATTAGGTTGAGGTCAGATGATGGTTTCTAACCACTGAGATTTCAGTAGAACTGCTATATGCCAGTTCCAGGTCAAGCCAAAAAAACATATGCATAGTCCCCCACAGTCAAAAGAAATTTTACTGCACTGAACGACTGATATTTGGGGATTATTTGTTATGTTTGTTTTATTTCTAAACATATGTATATTTGTACATATGTATCTTTGTCTAGGTTGTCTAGACTCATATGTACATATATACATGTAATTGCATTAATCAAGGTAATTAATATATATGTATTAATCATGGTAATTTATTTTATATTAATAATATATTAATGTATGCAAAGTCACTTCAGTCATGTCTGACTTTTTGTAGCCCCATGGACTATAGCCCGCTCCTCTGTCCATGGAATTCCCCAGGAAAGAATACTGGAGTGGGTTGCCGTACCCTCCCTCAAGGGAATCTTACTGACCTAGGGATTAAATCTGTGTCTCTCATGTCTCCTGCATTGGCAGATGCATTCCTTACCACTAGCACCACCTGGAAGCCCATATTAATATATATCTCCACTTTTTTTTAATCACAAAGAATCCACATCAGTAGTTTTCAACATCAGCCACACGTTAGAATGACTCTAGTAATTTTTTTCAAAAACTTGGTGTCCTGGCCACAATTCGGAATCCAGTCCATCAATTCAGAGTTCCTCCAGCTGAGACCCAGCCATTATTAGTTTTAAGACTCCACATGATTCCAATTTGCTGCCAAGTCTGAAAACCAGTGCTCTAAATCATTAGGCTCATTGGGAAAGTCTGGCAGCTCAGGAAAATTCAAAAGATAATTGTTTTCTTAAGAAAATTCACCAGGTAATTCTGATATGCTTTCAATCCACTGTTAACAATGCTGGTCTACAAGATGTTGTGTTATCACATAACAACGTTAACCTTAACATTACCTGACTCTGCTAGCTGCATCTTCTCCCTAGAGTTTGGGGTGCAGCATCAGAAAGGAACAATCAAGTGGCAGCGAGGTGTGGATGTAGCCCGGTGGTTGCCTGGACTTATTAACCTATCCTACGATTGTCACTCTAAGTGGGGGGGAAGACTGCAGTTGTCACCTGGGTAGTTCTCAAGGAGTCAACATCTTCAATGTGAAGTGTGTTCATAACAAAATGTTAAGGAAACCCCCTAAAAATATCTAAGTCAGAAACATAATCCAGTTAGCTCAAGTTTCCTCATGTCATCTTTACAAAACTGGAAAAGATAATTTCATTCTTTTGAAGCAGACAGTTATCTGGAGTGAAAATGAAAACTCATTTCGAGAAACAGTTTCTACTAAGAGTATGCAAACTATGTGGTGAGATATGGGACCAGCTACCATCAAGCCAGCTGACCTGCCTCCAGCCTCACACCACTCAACCCTGAAATGCTGAAATGACAACACTGTTTCTGTTATCAGGAATAGGTGGTCCATTCTGTTACCTAAAATAAAAGCCTCTAATATGCCTCTCAAGATGTTTTCTGCTTCAGAAAACCACAAAGGAAAAACTAAAGATAAAAGAACTACAGAAAAGTGGGATATGGTTGCCAGTATGAAGGCAGAGAAAGAATTTTTAAAATATGTTTTAATAAGAATGCTCAATTACATTCCCATGTACTTCACTGTGAAGGACAATCCAATTATCGATGACAGAATGATTTGAAATGAATCATTCCAAATAAGTTTAAATGTTATGTTACATTCAATGCATGTAATAAATTCCCACAGTTGGATATGAAGAGATCCATTTTACTTGAAAAAAAAAATCAAATGCTTCCTGCCTGCCTCTACTAAGTAAATTTTAAATAATACTTAAACAATATCTAGTTGAAGCCACCAAATTATTAGCCTGCCTGGGGCAGCCAAGTGCCACTTTAGCCTTTCTTGGAATCTCTAACACAGTCCTTCTCTAGAGCAGTTCAGACTTTAATGAATACACATATTAGTCACAAATCTTATTAAAACACAGATTATGTATTCAAAGTTCCGGGGTGAGATCTGAGATTCTGCACTTCTATCAAACACCCACAGGACGCCAATAATGCTCCAATAAAGCCTTATTTACAAAAACAGGCAGCGAGCCCACAGTTCACACTTTGGTTACCAAGCCTCCTGCATCAGACCACAACAAAAGTCCTTCTGCCCAAGTCACTTACGCCCATAGAACCAGGCCGAGTTCGGTTCAGAAGCAAAGGAAAGTTTCGTTCTTCATCAAAGAATGGCGACGTGCGAGAGCCCAGGCTCCTCAGGAAAGAACACAGGTAACAGCCAAATGCAAGGAGGTTTTGTTTCTGTCAGCGGAAAGGGGCGGAGCTCTTGTGCGTCTGAGTGCGTGCGCGTGAGCGTCGTGTCCCTGCTCAAGCCTCCAGATCACAGTGCTGGGCGCGCATCCTCTCTGCACCTCGTCTGCTGATCCCTGGTGTCATGCGCAGAGCTTCTGCAAGATCTACGCCAAGCTCAAGTATCAGGTGCAGCCCCTTCACACTAGGAACTCTCATCTGAATTGCTGGGTAGAAGGCCACTGCACGCAGTACCCTTAGAGCAAGTGAAACTAAGCACAAAGGAAAAAAAAATTAGATTTTATTTTATTATCAGATTCTATTTCCCAGGACCTGTTAATGAGTTTTAATCCTTCCTTGGCCCTTTGTCTTACTCTTCCTTCTTGAGGGGCAATTAGGGGTGAAGGTCCATCTTCTATAGCTATCTCTTGCTGGTTTGGGTCACTGTCATAACCGCGGGTGGAAGAGCAGATCTTCTCCCCATCTGCCTTTAGGCCCCATAATTCATCTGTTTGGACCATGTGCCTTGGAGAGTAGTGGCCAAGATCTTTTCATCCCCCTTTGGGAACTGTGAGGTATTCTCACTTTCTGCAACCCTCTTTTTAGGGGTAGCCCATTAGGTTGCATCCTGCAGAACTGGAAGTTTTTTGGGTATCAGCCCCAATACGAAAACATTTTATCTTCCTATTTAATACACCCTGGCCCCAATACCGGCTGGCAGATGGAGAGAGCTGACCCATCAATGAATCTCTAAATTATAACACCATCATATTATTACCTGGGCTTCCAAGGTGGTTCAGTGATGAAGAATCCACCAGCCAATGCAAGAGACCTATCCCTGGGTCAGGAAGATTCCCTGGCATAGGAAATGGCAACCCACTCCAGTATTCTTGTTTGGGAAATCCCATGAACAGAGGAGCCTGGCAGGCTACAGTCCAAGGGGTTGCAAAAAGTCAGACAGGACTGAGTTACTGAGCATAGCACACCATTTTATTACCCAGATTCTATTTTTATTTCCCAGGAATTGTTAATGGGCTTTGCTGGTGACAGTTTGAATTTGAATTTTTAAAATATTACTTATTTTGGTTACTGAGTGTTTTGGGTGCAGTCAAGTAGAGTGCCTCACTTCCCTTGCCCTGGTCCTGTGCTCAATGCAGCCTGCAGACCACACTTAAGGTAGTGACGTCCCTGTGAACACCCTCTTTGTTTATTGTTCCTTGTCTGAGACTGAGTCCCATGCACTTCACTTTCAAATCCCTCAGTCACACCACCCAGCCTGCCTCCACTCCGCACCACCAGTGCTCATCTCACATAAAATATGATCAAAAGCCCAAATTTTCTATAATATATAAAATTGTATATATAGTATTATTACATATAATTAATAATATATATGTATTTATAATTAACAATATATAATATTTATATAATATATAATTTTATATTATCTATATCTATGTATAGTTTCTTAATTTTTACCTTTCACCAGATGAAATTCCTTTTTCAGGGAAATAATTTTTAAAATGCTTTCCTATAGTTGTAGATACTACATTTCCTGATGGTGTATGTGCAGCTGTGTGTGTATGTGCTCTCTTTTTAAAGTGAAGTCCAAACATTTGAAAGTTTTTCATAATAAGTCTCATGAAAAAAGTTTGCCTCTACTGGTTGGTCATTTGTTCTCTATCTACTATTATCAGGATACTCTGGTGTTACCCTGCTTTTCTTACAGCGCTTTCATTGGAAGAGGTTAGGAAATATGTTCACATGTAAAAAGCATGTCAAACATGGTAAGACTTAAAAGAAGCTTCAGTTTGCCTCTTCAATAGGGAGGGGGCAGAGACTGAATTTTTTAAAGATAACCTAAACTCTGGTGGCTTAAAATGACTTCAGATAACCCACCACTTTTTCATTGCTCTTACTCTTTAAATATGTGTCCTCTTTTTAAAAACACGTTGACACAATTCCCAAAATCTCAACATACCAATCTGATGAGATGGTTGTTCTTCATCAACTTGATATTTTATACTGGGCAGAAGTATTTAGCAACATCTTCCAACTTCATCATAAGAGATTTCATCATAAAACTCGTGTCTACAGCTCATTTACAAAAATATGAAACAAGGTCACCTCCAACATGGTTTCCTCACTATCTGTTTCCAAAAAGCTCAGTAATCGGCCCCTCCCTTCCCTGTCTTGCTTCTGCTGCATTGTAAACAAACCACAAAAACACTTTATCCAAATAGATACACCCATTAACTCACAAACTGAGCAAACAAGTTTACAGGAAAATACACATTAAAGGTTGTGGGTTGATGGGAAGCCAAAGGAACTGGTAGTGGGCGAGGGTCGTAGGTAGAAGAGAATAAAGGGAACTATGTGATGGAGTGGGTTGTGGGTGGCCAAGGAGGGAAGATGACCAGAAGGGTAGCACAGGAAGATGGTTTTGCCTAAGCTTTAAACCAAGTTGGGTTTTGCCTCTTAGTAAATATTTATTGGGGAAGGAAATGGCAACCCACCCCATGGGTGGGAAATCTCATGGACAGAGGAGCCTCCTGGGCTACACTCCATGGGGTCCCAAAAGAGTTGGACACAACTTTGTGACTAACAACAATAACAACTATTTATTGAGATCTTCTATGGACTTTGCACTGTGCTAGATCTTAATGGCAAACACAGAAGTAATCTACATCATTGAACTACTTCTTCAGGGGTTTACAATCTACAAGCAAGATTTAACACACATGAACCAATTGCATGAGAGCCCAGTGCACACACACAAAGATACAGAAAATATTTGGTTTCTTCCATGTCTCAAGTACTTCCTAAATACCTTATTTATGCCTCATAACCATTCTGCGAAGTTAGGTGCCATTGATCCCCTCTTTTTGATGGAGAATCTGAGGTCTTGAAGGGTAAATAATCTTCCCAGCATCACACAGCTATCAAGTGCCAGAGATAGGATTCAGTTTTAGATTTACCTAACTTTGTTTTCATCTCAGTGGTTTAACTTAATAAAAGCTTATTTTTTGTCCAAAGTCTGAAGATATTCCTGGCCAGTTGCGCTTTCCTGGAAGGTTATTCTTCAGGTGATGACTCAGGAATCTAGTCCTTTCCATCCCAAAGCCCTGCTGTTTCCAACTTCTGGCGTCCAAACTTGTCAATGGAGAGGAAGAATGAGTGATGATGGCATGGAAGATACTATAACAACCCCCAGCCCAAACCAATACAAACCCCTTTTAGTTCATTGACCACAGTTAGTTTCATAGCCCCAAGAAGAGGCAAAGGGGTCAGGAAATGGAGTGACGGAGCAGTTGCGTCCCACAACAACTCGACAGAATGGAAGAAGAGCACGTAGCTTTGGTGGTCAGCTAGCTCTCCCTACTACAAACTCCAAAGCCACTGAGTGTCATGCTTCTGAACCATGTGAGGAAGAACTAATGTGTGTGGTGCTAAATTTACAAGTCCCTAAAGGAAGTTCAAAGCAGTGGGAGATCATAAGGTTGGAGCAGAAAGAAAGGAACCTAAGTAGGGTGCTGAAAAGAGGGTATGAGGAAGACATTGTGGGCTGAGAAGAACCAGAGTCAACATGTAAAGTAGGAAAGATAATGATGCTCACAGTCATGTTATGAAATATATTTATGATGTGTGTCACATGCAGTGATATGTAATCAAAAGCTCAGCTACCAGGGGAAGGAAACTCTGAAAAAACAGGGCTTATTAAGTGCTTTTCAACTGATGCAGACTGCGGCCTTCCCAGGGACTGCTCAAAATGTAAACTCGGGCCAGGGACCATGGTTTTACTGTTGTTCTTGTTGTTTACATGTTGTATTTTGCTCTTCAGTGCCTAGCACTTGGCTGTGGTTCAGAAAAGGTAAATTGTGGATGTTCCTTGGACAAGAGTTGGCTTTCAAAAGTGTGCCGAGAAGTGGATAATCCAAGAGCTTCCATTTTCATTGTCCACCACTGGGCTTTTCATTACCTAAAAGAAATTGTAAAGTCCTGGAATCTTGTAACATGTATCCTTTCCATAAAATTAGTCCTAAAAATTGATTAGGGAGTATATAGCAGAGGTGGAGAAAAATCTTTTTTGTCAGAGGTGTTGGTGAAAGCTTCTTGGGGATGTGGCAGCCAAGCTGGGCTTTTGCATAGAAAGAACACCCTGCATACGGGCACTGAAGTGGGCAAGGGCAGTGGGCAGTAGTGCCCGATGGCAGGGGCAGTGTGTAAGGAAGTAGGGCCTTGAGGTTGTGGTCATGGAGGGGCTAGGATGCCCATGTAGGGTAATCTGGAATACAGTGTACTGTTTTGGGGAGTATTAGGAATATGACACTCCAGCAGGAGTGTATAGGACTCTCTGAGAAGCTGAAAGACTGAAGCAGTGGAACAAATCAGGAAGCCTCTGACTTTCCTTTTTTCTTTGCTCATTTGCAATCATTTGTAAATGATTAGATGCCACTGCAGCTCCCCCCACCCCGCCCCGCCCCCCACCTCATTGGTCACTTGCATGAGGCAAGGGCCTTTGTCTCAATCGTTTGTTGAAAGAATGAAATTCTATGGGGGTCCAGGCAGGAGGCCTTGGCAATGTAATGGTTGGGGGAATGGAAGGGAGGAGATGGATTTAAGAGCAGTGGTGAGGTGACAGCTCCTTCCCCTTGCTCTGCTGTTCTGGTTTTTGTTTGTTTGTTTTTAATGGGAATTTGGGGTAGTATTGACAATTAAATTGAGGTGGAATTTTTCAATTTTTTTTCAAAAAAATTTTTATTTCTTTTGGCTGCACTAGGTCTTCAGTGTGGTGTGCAGGTCTTCATTCCCGTGTGCTGACTTCTCTAGTTGTGGCGCAGGGGCTCTAGAGCATGTGGGCTCAGTAATTGCAGCCCTCAGGCTTAGTTAGAGTATGTGAGATCTTAGATCCGCGACCCAGGGATCAAAGCTGGTACTCCTGTGTTGGGAGCATGAGTCTTATCCACTGCACTGCTAGGGAGGTCTCTCTCAGCTGTTCTGTTGAATGATCTAGGAAGAGTCCATCCCGGTCTCCGATTTTTCATCTTTACCTGGTCCCCTACATGTGAATACAGAGGAGACAGGATAACAGAAGGGGCTTCCCAGGTGGCACGAGTGGTAAAGAACTCACCTGCCAGTGCAGGAGACAGAAGAAATGCAGGTTTGATCCCTGGGTTGGAAATATCCCCTGGAAGAGGGCATGGCAACCCACTCCAGTAGTCTTGCCTGGAGAATCCCACGGACAGAGGAGCCTGGCAGGCTACAGTCCATA